ATGGTTTTTCTATTTCGTGTTTTTGTAACGAAACTTTTGATTAACATGTTACGCTCATTAGTATTTACATGTGTGTTATTTTTTTTTCTAACAGTTTCCAGGGTTCTGGATTCAAATTAGGATCCGTATGGGACGACATCAGGCATATGGAACAGAACCCTTCTCTCACACAGGCCACTGTTAATACAGAGCTTTTAGTAAGGGCCAGTCGCGCCGATAACACTATTAAAAAAATACGACTCTTATTTTTTTAAGTTTAAAGATTGGTGTGATACGGTACGTTTAGATTTTTTACCAGCTAAAGCTAGTACTGTAGCAGTTTATCTTTCGTTATTGGTACAAAAATCTGTATCGGTTTCGGTTTTGAATTCTCATGTTTATAGCATTAAGTGGCAACATGATTTTTCAGCGGTAGATAATCCATGTAATGACAAGTTTGTATTAACCGCCTTGGAAGGAGCAAAAAGGCTGGTGTCAAAACCAGTCTGTAAGAAGGTACCGTTGTCGACTAAGCATCTACTGAATATAGTGGAGAATTATAGTGATATCAATAGTTTGGTAGATCAAAGGATTTGTACAATATGCCTGCTTGGATTTGCAGGAGTTTTTAGATTTAGCGAACTTGCGCAAATGAAAGTGTCGGATTTAGTGTTTTTTAATTCGCATGTCGAAATTAACGTTACTAGCAGTAAGACTGATGTTTACAGAGAACGTAACAATGTGTTTATTGTCCGAACAGGAAGTTCTACATGTCCTGTGTTACATCTTGAAAGACATCTAGTTTTAGCTAAACTTGAAAAAAAATTCAGAACAATTTGTATTTAGAGCGCTAAAATTTTCGAAAAGTAACGGTAGATAATAAGCCTTTGTCTTATACAAGGATGAGAGAAATCTTCTTAGATGCTATTTCTAAGATAGGTCTAATAATTTATGGCCTTACAAGGAACAAAGGAGGGCATAAATATATGCTAATGACTACACTCACGTGGACGAAATCCAGAAACCAATATGAGAAATACACCTACAGCAGGACTGTTGGAGTGTTTTTTTCAAAAAGGGACATTGTTAACATCACTATGTCCAAAATTGTCAACATATCGAAATGAGTTATTTAGACATGCAAATTACATTTAACCTGATTTTTGTTTTTTTGTTTTTTTGGTTTTTTTTTTTTTTTTTTTTTTTGTCTTCGCTTGATCAGAAACGGCTCATTATAAAAACAAATTAACAAGGAATAGAAAAGTTAATTTGTAAGTTGCGAGTGATTGGAACATAAAGAACTGTAGAATTACTAGTTGCCTCTTCATTTTCGATTCGACTTTTTTTTATCATTATTTAAACGCAGTAAAATGATGAATTGAACTTAAATAGTTCACCTGAATATAGATGTGGTAACCCATGTGAAGACCTTTATGACAATCTTTGATTCTGTACCTTTATACACTTGAAAAAAAATGATAATATCTTAAATGCAAAATGAAGTGATACACATTGACGAGTTGTGAGTTTAGACATGTGGACAGTGTATCACCTGTTTCGATTGCACGGAGCAGATGCATTATCTACATATATACAAAGTATCAAGCTCGTGAAATACCGCCTCCTCCCCCAATCCCACCCACCCCAATTTGTCCAATTATTTAATAAATGTTGATTTACAATGACATATGTTTAAATCAAGCGAATGTTTGTTCCAGACTGGATCTGTACTGATTTTCTTCCACCGTTTGAGAAATCTACGTTGTTAGCTGAAAACAGATACTGTCATGGTCATCGATTTCAAGGGGACATTGCTTTATTTGTTATTGCAGCTATGTTAGCCATGATTACCATTCAAAATATGTCGAGTAGGCCTTTACCTAATATACCAGGTGAGCGCTGCAGGACCGTTGGACCTCTTGTTCGATATGCTAGCTTTTTAACTACTTACATCTGTATGTGATATATTCCGTTGACACTTCCTTCTGGGAGTTATATTTCATGTGCTTCATATATATAGAAATGACTTTATACAGTTTCAGTTATGAAATTATCTCCTTTTGTGTAGGCAAATGATGAACTGTAGGCGAGTGTCTAAACACACAAACAGATGTTATCTAAATCAGAGATGTATATATCACGCTATATACGTCACTGTCCGAATTGATTTGTCAATGTAAATATTTAACTTTTATCATCCAGTTGATCTCTAGAAAATATGATGAACCCAGAATGTATACACGGACGTATCTAAGTCCGTAATTTATACAACACAATTCGGCAACCGATTAAATATTCATTCAAATAAGTGAAAGCGCACCAACCACCTCTTTTTTTACAGACTGAGATATATACTATTGGAACAAATACATCAGTATAAAATTCTATACTCATAATTAACTGCATATGTAGTTATAAAAGCCGGAAGCAATTTGGATACAAAATGTCAGCATGTATTATTTTTTGACAGAAATTATCTTGGATAGATACGTTAATTAGAGGAATGCAGATGTAATTGTATTATTTTCATGCTTCATACAATCCCACTATTTTAGGAAGTTAATACGTGTTAAGTGTACAAACTAAATTTAGGAATTTCACAGAGAGAGAACTGTCCGGCCATGTCTCGCAAAGATAAGCAATGTGTCAATGAAGTATCTGACCAGACTCACGCATTTCATTCATTGATACTTCAAACTGGTCCTTATACATGTCCTCGTTATTATTACTGTTTCACACCTAAGTAGACTAAGGGTTTGGGGCTGAGATTATTTGATTAATATACCAATATAAGTAAATCTTGCATGTATAGGTATAATATTTTCGAGAAAAATAAGAATTGCAGAAAACTTCTTTAAGTCCGTGCATCATCCGGTCTAAGGTTGACAATTAAAATTAACAATATATATTATCAAACTGATCCCTGTCTGAAAATTCTGGCAAATTTCATAGGGCTGTCGTTGTTAGAATTATCTAATCCCTAAAAACTTTTTAAAAAATCATTTTCAGTCTGATGTTGCTTAGTATAACTGTTCTCAATCTCGCCTGTTCTTCTACAGCTGACGCTACCAGTCGTTAAACTTGTGACGTCACGGTCGATGGGCCCCATTCAGCGCAAGTCAACCTTCCGTTGGTAAGTAGCCAGAGTGACATCATTCTCGGCCCCCATCGGCTATCGAGTTAATCGCTATACTGTCAAAGTGAAAACGAAGGGCAGTGACTCTGGAATGACATGTGAAAATCGTGCAATTTATACGTCAATATCTCGTTACTGGGCTAGCACATTTTGATGCGGTTTTCAACCTTTTTTTTAAATTTTCAATCATAGATAATAAAACTACATTAATTAAATTTTCATGCAGGGTACACTTTGATACTCTGTCTACATGTAAACAATGTACAGTCTACATGTACACGGAACTTCATCGGTCCAGCGAAACTTTCTAATTTTTGTTTTATTTTATCTCGAAATTTCGAGATAGCAACTCGAAATTTCGAGTTATTCATCAGAAATTTTGAGATATTAACCCGAAATTTCGAGATAACAACTCGAAATTTCGACTTACTAACTCAAAATTTCGGATTACTAACTCGAAATTTCGAGTTAAAATAAAACACAACGTGGTCGGAATACGCTTCCGTACTATCGATCATGTCAATAAGGAGTCGCCGTAATCCTCGGACAGTTATGTTTTTTTGTTTTATTATTTCTATGGGGGGGGGGGAGAGAGAAGTCCATCAACTCTTCTTGACGTTTAATTAAAACTCTTTAAAACTCTGGCTATCGAGTTAAATGAACATTATCCCGCCATTTCTCTCATTTAACAAAGAAATACCGTTATAGGACTACACTAAATAAGTATACAATATTCATTCATAGTACAACACTCTAAGCAAAATGAAGCTATAAATATACTGTTCCACGTACCCGAACAATGGGTTTGGAGCACTTCATATACCGGTAATTCATTTCTAATAGAGTATGCCGGAACTACTGACGCTACAACATAAAACCGTACTGGACCTGATCCTCTCACCTCGGCGGCTCTCCCAAATCTAACATCCGACGAGACATAGACAAACGAACTGATCGGCAACATCGAAAACAAGACAATACTGGACATGACCATACAAGAAATTATTTCAACAATTGCCCAATATTTCAACAATTACCCAACACGCAACACCACGTTTACATAACAACACATGTCAATTTCAATTTTATTTCACTCCGTATGCAATAGCATAAAAGATTGAGAATAAACATACAAATAATAACATTTACATTTACACAAGATGGCGGAGAACAGTATCCATAACCAGTAAGATTAAGACTCAAAATTCATAAGCATTCATAAATATCAAGCAAATTTTAAACAGAGCGGTGTTCTGAAGCACCAGTACTCGGAAGCGTTACTTTCGACAATTGAAAATGTATAGATTAATTAAGAAACACTCAATTGCTCAATCAATTATCTCGAATATACAGAGCCCGTTAACTGACATGCTCCATACTTATTTTATTTCGTTTTTTCGAAATATTAATTCGTTATTTCGAAATATTATTTCGTTTTTTCGAAATAATAATTCGTTTAAACGAAATATTATTTCGAAAAAACGAAATAAGATAAGTATGGAGCATGTCAGTTAACGGGCTCCATACGAATAGCATAAGTGAGAAATAATTCGTGTATTTGATAAGAACATTTTAAATGTAACAGTGTAACATACACAGGAAAGGTGACGTACATATAACAGCAAGCCGCGCGCATGCCGTACATGTATTCGTTAAAACCGAGCGGCATGGACTTTGAGATAAACAAATCTAACAATTTTATTATACTGTCTTATCTAACGTTCTATTACTTTATCTTCTCTCCAAAGACGAAGCAGCTTCAATTTTAAACTCATGTTACACGATCTTAGCTAATCTGACTCCGGGCTAATCCTGATAGATAAATAATCCGTACTGTAGGACTAACCATTACAAGCGGTCGCCGTCATTAGGACGCTCTGTTTAGCGACAAACACGGAAACGAAATTGTCGTGCAGTAAGAAACGATGGCAGAAGAAACGAAATTGGCAAGTATTACAGAGAATTTTCAATGCAGCAACGTTGAATTTTATGCTAAATAAGTTAAAGATATACCCGCAATGATGTTATATTAACGTGAAGGTGTGTCAAACCGGTTTAGCAGACTGGCAGATGTTGTCAGCAGTTTCAACATTCGATTTATCAACGGATCTTGCAAACGATCTTACTTTTATCATTGTACGCCTATAGAAACACGAAACAACTTAACAAGTCGGATAGTATTTCTGCTATCCGAGATTACCTTTTTGTGATTACGATGAATACGATTTTTAATCGTGTACTTTCACTTCCATAATGTATTTACATGTAGAGATTGTGTAAAAAACCACTTTTTATTTTCATTTTTACTTTGTATGTTGGAAACCTATACTAAAATACATATCTTGTTCCTTAACAACAACTGAAGTTGCAGATTATTTTCTCACTTTCACACTTTAGGTGTACTATTGTCAGATCTAGATCAAAAGTAAAACACGTTTTTCCAACTTACACTAATCATGTTTGTTGGCCCAGACTGAAATTTGGGATGGGTCTTTACTGAGTACCAGGGAAACCCATGGGAAGGGGCTGTGGCCCCTTACCTTTTCATGTCCATTTGGTTTGGGGAATTGAGCCCTGGTGGACTTGGAGAAGGGTGGATGTGTTACCACTGCGCCACCTGACCACCAAAGATTGTCTAAAGTTACTATACATATCTTAGATGAAATGAATTCTAGAATACAATCATAACATGGTTTTTACATCATCAGCTTGTATATAAGCATTGCTTGTACATACAGAAGCCTGATGCATTGTATGCCACATGTACATAATGTTATGTACAATGCTTCATCATTATATTGATTTGAGTGACAATGACAATTCTTTTTTTATTTTTAGGCACACAGTGATGGTAATGCACTAGAACAGGTAATTCATTACAATTTCATAGAACAGATAATGTTAAATTGTCAAATTGTGTCTGAAGGAGTAAAAAGTACTGAGCTAGTTTCATATAAATATATCCATTGGTATTGTTTCATAGATTTTCTGTCTTATTTATACCAATAGTTAGTCTTTATTTCAGATAATGCATGTCTTTCTTTCAAGAACTCTGAGTAGTGCCATTACTATTAGAAATTTCAATGTAATAACAGCTTTCTTCGGTTTCAATCAAATACTGTATATCAGCAAATTAAAAATTATTTTTCAAAAATCAGATTTTCATATTTTCAGCAAAATATATTCCACTTTATCATCATACTTTATTGATTTAATCACAGTATGGTAATACCCATGAGAAAATGATATTCAGATCCCATTTGTTTTGGAATTGGTTAAAATTGCAATGTGAAATGACTGGGATAACCAGGATCCTGGTAAGATATTTTTACCTGACAGGGCCCATGATGAGATCCTGCTGGGATTCTCAGGTATATTTTCTCTTGGGTAGACAGTTATTTTATTTTTTTATCTGATGTATATCTGTGGAATGTATTGTACATAGATATACAGTATATAAGGCACTCATACTAAGTTCATTACATGTACTTGTAGTTTTCATAGTATGTACAATATATGTCATATGATTTAATTCACATCACAATTGTACTTATTTAAATGTAATGACAGGACATATTTGTCTAGGATACAATTTATTATAAGCCAGGAATTTTTGAACATGTACAAGTTCTTTAACTGATATTTTAAAGTTTACATGTACAGTATGTATGATGAGGGTTAGTTTATTACATAGTTATCTTTATATTCTAAAAGTTTCTTCATAACTTAGCGGGTATACCAGGTGGGAGTAGGTGTGTGTTGGTAAATCTAAGTGTACATTTGATTTGTTTCCTCTCAAATCCAAAGGAATCACCACCATCTTACCATGCCACAGCTGACCAATCTGCAGTGGATATGCCTGAGGGCCTTCCTCCATATGGGGCTAATGGATACTCTGGTAGGTTGTGTAAGATCTTCATTTATTGTTTTCTGATATGAATTACTGCAGTATTAAGTGCAATGTAACCTGGTCAGTTCAGTACTACTTCTGCTGTAAAATTATACTGTGGTTGTAAACCTTTAGTCAGTTATCAGTTTGAATTGCATTACCGGTAATGTTAACGGATTTCATTATAGTATAGTATGGAATTTGTCATAAATATGTACATTGTAAAAAATGATAAAACTGCATAAATTGTCATTTTAATGTTCTATCAAATTTCAGAACCTCCGCCATCGTACGATTCACTGTTTGGGAAGGTGAAGGCTGCCAAAGCCTCATCCAGTAACAATGCTCAGTTTGCCAAGAGCTTCGTAGGCATACTTATGGGAACCTGTAAGTTAAGACAACCTATGTTTTGTTTTCTGTGTTACAGTTCATTATCTGTACACCATTTGACACAGTAGTTTGAATTTTTATGCCTTTATTGGTTTAATTCTATATTGTTTGTTTTATTACTTGATATTTACATACATTGAAGCTGCTGAACCGAAAAATTGTAACTCTAAACTCTGTTTACCAGATATTTGTATGTTTATACTTTGCTTAGATGGACATTTGTTTGTATTAACATTTTTTAGCAAGATATTTGTAACTTAAGACATTGGTTTACAGGACATTTTTATAGGTATAAACATTGTATTACTGTGCATTTGTATGTATATTTATTGTTTTACTAGACATTGCTATGTTAAGATAATGTTTTATTGGGCATATGTTTTTTAACATATTGTTTTACTGTACATTTATATTTAAAGACATTATTTTGCTGGACATTTGTACATACATGTCCATAGAGTGTATGTCTATATCTAGTTTGAAGGGCATGTATGCTGGACATTTGTACATACATGTCCATAGAGTGTATGTCTATATCTAGTTTGAAGGGCATGTATGCTGGACATTTGTACATACATGTCCATAGAGTGTATGTCTATATCTAGTTTGAAGGGCATGTATGCTGGACATTTGTACATACATGTCCATAGAGTGTATGTCTATATCTAGTTTGAAGGGCATGTATGCTGGACATTTGTACATACATGTCCATAGAGTGTATGTCTATATCTAGTTTGAAGGGCATGTATGCTGGACATTTGTACATACATGTCCATAGAGTGTATGTCTATATCTAGTTTGAAGGGCATGTATGCTGGACATTTGTACATACATGTCCATAGAGTGTATGTCTATATCTAGTTTGAAGGGCATGTATGCTGGACATTTGTACATACATGTCCATAGAGTGTATGTCTATATCTAGTTTGAAGGGCATGTATGCTGGACATTTGTACATACATGTCCATAGAGTGTATGTCTATATCTAGTTTGAAGGGCATGTATGCTGGACATTTGTACATACATGTCCATAGAGTGTATGTCTATATCTAGTTTGAAGGGCATGTATGCTGGACATTTGTACATACATGTCCATAGAGTGTATGTCTATATCTAGTTTGAAGGGCATGTATGCTGGACATTTGTACATACATGTCCATAGAGTGTATGTCTATATCTAGTTTGAAGGGCATGTATGCTGGACATTTGTACATACATGTCCATAGAGTGTATGTCTATATCTAGTTTGAAGGGCATGTATGCTGGACATTTGTACATACATGTCCATAGAGTGTATGTCTATATCTAGTTTGAAGGGCATGTATGCTGGACATTTGTACATACATGTCCATAGAGTGTATGTCTATATCTAGTTTGAAGGGCATGTATGCTGGTCATTTGTACATACATGTCCATTGAGTGTATATCTATATCTAGTTTTGTATGCTGGACATTTGTACATACATGTCCATAGAGTGTATGTCTATATCTAGTTTGAAGGGCAACTACATGTTACATGTTCATGTACATTAGCTCCAATGATAGTGTATCCTTTATGTTGATTGTGTTTGTGACCTATCTGTATGTTTTTGGTTCTGGATATTTAGAATTTACTAATTGTTGAATCTGACACACTTGTTTTTTCAACAGTGGCCTGTACCATTATAATGGGAATTTTCCTGGCGATTCCAATAGCAATGACAGCTATAGGTAGGTCCATCATGTTGAGTATTCTTTGTTAGTTTGGAACATTTTTCTAGTTAACTGATATGCACATACACCACAAGTGTCCATTTCACAAATTCAATTGCTCTGTTGACAATCTTCAATATATGTCGGTACAGATATATAGGTGTTGAAATACCATTACATGTTACATAATACTTGTATTCCTCCAGTTGATTCTATTTAAGATGTATTTAAAGCTTGTTGAACAAAATTTGTGTCGTTGAACACCAGTTACAAACTTTACCTCTTTATTTTTCTCCAACCCAGTTCTTGAGAACATTAATATGATATGGTATGCAGACATGTACAAAGGAGATGTTTGTAATTCTGTTTATGTCAACAGGTTGAATATCATTTTTGAAAGGAACAAATTTATCATTCAGCAATTGATATGACCAGATATTCCAATGTGAGCAACACCTTGGATTGTGTTTGATAGGTGTATAATGACTTGATGATGTTTTAGCTGAAATTGTTAACTAGTGATAAATTGTGGTTCGTTTTTATGTAACACTTCCCATTTACGTTAGTAAACTTATGGATATCTCCTTAAGTGTTGATATCATTGAATAAGTAAGAATATATAATCACTGGTTGACAGGAGGTGTGTATCTACATCAATGTCCAGCTGAGAGGTTTATCCCTATCTATCTATTGGTGGCTGGAGTGTTTGGGATTATCAAGAATCTGTCCAGTCTAGGACAGAAACTGAGAAATAAGAAAGAAGAAGGAGAGGATGATGATCAGAAAAATGTGAAGACAAATCCAGCAGACATGTTACTGAACTGCTTTTTGTTCGCCTGGTTTATTGCAGGTAAGACTTACACTCGTTCCTTATTTTCAAGCTGCCTAGTCATTACATATTTGACATGTAAGAGTTCTGTCCCTTTATCAAGACTGATATCTAGGTAGCAGCCTGCCAATTGATGTCAGTAACTGACAACTGTACAAAGATATGACTTCCCACCATGTCTGCTCTTACAAGCAATGTTGGTTGTATCATACGTATCTATGATAATAATGCCTCCATATTTCACTTAATGTGTGGCTACCATATCTATAACCCATGGAAACATGTTGCCCTCTTTTATATAGGGAATTCTGGTTATGCACTTATGGTACTTAGCCATCACTCCTATGATAATCTGATTCCCATTTTTTTATAGGAAATGTGTGGGTATATCGTACCTATGGAAACTTCAGTACTGATGAGACCTCTCAAATGTACTGCCATCCTACCTGTTACTACTTTGCCTTCTGGATCATCACATCTACCTATATCCTAGGGGGACTCATCTGCTTTCTGACTTGCTGTGGAGGGATTGTGGCAGCCATCACCACAGCAAAATAAAGCTTAGTAACTGAGATGAGAGAAGAGAATCTAGATTAATCTGTAAAACTGGTACAAGGTATTAATGTAATTATATGTACAATTAATAATGCTCAAACACAGCTTCCAGATGATCAGAAATGTTTAGATATATTCAGTTTTTCTCTTTTTAGAGAGGTACATAAGTGGATTACGTATTGTGGTGTAATTGCTTGCTTTCGGTATAATTACATGATTTTTAGTACATGTACAGGTATTCATATAAGTAAAGATTGTTTGCTTAATAATACTAACACTTACTTATCACTTGTTGGGCCTATATTACATGGTCTACATGTATATGATGCAGAGTAAGGATTCCATTCACAGTGTACAAGTTATGACACTTGATTACCAAGGAAATCTAAAGAGACTAAAATTGATCTGTTGTCATCAAAGCAATACTTAATTGTTACTATTTTCTTTCTTTCTACAATGTGATTTCTTCCAAATATTGTCTCCTGAGGCACCCGTCCTTGTATTACCTCAGCTGTTCTGAGGAGATAAAACTCCAAACATACTAATTTCATTCAGGACTTTAAACTTGAAAAAACGGAGCAAACTATGGTGTCATGAATAATTTTTTTAGCTTTAAATGCTATATAAAACAATAATTCAAAAGATACAATACATTTCTGATATTTATAAAGTGTATCAATATAGAAATTGTTTGTCTTAGTATCATAAAATATAACAATATTGATGCTATGTGTCTAGAACAGACCTCTTGTTAAAATTAAAAGTGTTGTGTCCTAACGAGAACCCTGACTATTTTAGGGCAGTTAAGTCATATTTATTTTTCCTGATGTATTTTTTATAAAGGCCACATGATGTCATGGTGTTTATCTTAAAATCCACAAGGCCAGATCAAATGTATTTACAGTTTCTTGTTATATTTTGTTGTTAAACTTTTCTCATAATAATTCTGCGTACAGTTAAATACATAGATATAACTGATTGATGTTGTAAAATAACAGCTTTCAGTCAATATGATTATGAATAAGTCTTTATAACATGTCATACAAGTATTTTACATTTGCTTTTTGCATTTTAAATATTCAAAGTATATATTGATCTGTGTCAGAGATAATCAGTCAGTAATATGTGTATCATTACTGTATATATATTATTGATCTTTTATAGTCCCAATTACAGAAATCCATTTATTGAGAAAAGAATATCAAGTTTACTGGGAAGATTTACTCTCATAGTTTTAAATGTACAAGCCTTATTCTGATTCTGCATTTGTACATTGTCATACATAGTACTTAAAGGACTTTATACTGGTCAGATTTTAATTCATAAACACATTTAATGGCATATGACCTCAGTAGGGCATGACCTACATGTAAATTGGATGACCTCATCACGGAGTTAGCAATAGTGTATATGTAGAAAGTGTATGCCTCAAATTTTGTAATATATCAATGGATAATTTAAATTTACTAATCAAAAGTTAAGAATGATATTTTCAAACATTTTAATTAGTATGTTGTGATTGCTATACATTTACACTAATACATGTAGGAATTAGAAATGATATATCCATGAGCCTTATTCTCTAAGTACTCCACAACAAAATCTTAATTTGTGGGGTTTTTTATCTGAAGAACTTTTCACCTTGAACATATTGATTGATTGTTCCTTTATCAAAATTAATGATTTTTTTTTTCAATGGAATTTTGTGTCAATAAGAAATTAAAAAATATAGTTATGCCTTGCTGGAAACTTATTTTATTTCTGTAACTTACAGTGTTGTGCGTTGTGTTATTTATGTTTTGTATTAACTGTGTAATCTACAATATTATGTATACTGTATAATTGGTCCTGAAGTATTGGGGGATGTCCCCAATAGATTCTTCTATTTTGCCTTTATTTTCCTCTTGATACATGAGCAAAAGCACACTATGAAATATATACTTACTTGAAACTGTCTGAAATTAATGCCTTGAGTCCTGTATTTAACATGCAATACCTCCATTTGGTTGTAAAATATCTTTCAGCAATTTGTCGTAATACTGAGACTTTCTTCTTAGAATAAGTTCAAAAATGGAACATAACACATGTACATGTAAATCTACTTTGTATTGATGATACTTGAATCTCAAATCTGATACCTTATTGTGCTAGATTTGCTATATAGATTAATATTTCTTTTGTAATAAGCAGTTATGTTTCCTCACAAGATTGTCCTATTTAAAATTAAGGGATTGTTTATAATTAATCAGTGAAGACGAGTTTAATGAACACAAATTTAGAGGTTTGAAGATGGATATACAGTAACACTGATCAGATTATCAAT